CACACACACACACACACACACACACACACACACACACACACACACACACACACACACACATGTAAAAGAAAAGCAAAACAGAACACCTCCCCCGATAAAGAACTGATGAAACTTCATTATGCTGTGCATACAGTATAAGACTTCAAGAAAACAAGTGTGGTATGTTCCAAGCTTGGAGCGCGAGACACAGAGGCAAAGGGACCAGGAGACGGGAAACTAAGTGGGAGGGGAAGAGGATGGATCCAGTTTCTTACCTGAAGTCAGGGGCCATGTAGTCTGCCCAAACAATAGGTGATGACGTTGGGTAGTCAGGAGGAACAAGAAGTCGCAGCGGAGACAGCTGTGTCTGCAATGCACCACCAGAAATTCAGAGATAATATGCCATTAGCTAACAGACGACACGTCTGTGAAAGTGCTTTACTTACCACACTCAATTATCACACAAAATCCACAGTGCACCATGCTTCATACGCTCTGCTAGCAGAAACCAACAACTTCACTCTCAGATAGAGAGTGGAAAGGCAGGGAATCCGTGATTCTTGCAAAAAGGGTGCCTTCCTAAACAACATCAACCTACCGTCTTCACCTGAAAATAACGCCCGGGCATTATATTCAACTTACCCTAAGAACATGAGACTTTCGTTTTTACTCACTTTTTTTCAAATAGAACGCCCCTTCGAATAGAAGGCCCAGGCGTTGTATTCGAATAGAACGCCCGGGCGTTATAGTTGAATGTTCCATGGGCAGAGTGCCTTGAAGATGTAGTATACATGGGTTTTAAAGGGCGGGAAAGGGGGTATACATGGGTTTTGAAGACGGTTGAACGGGGTTTTGACTTCCAAGGGGTATATTTTGGCTTTAGTTTTCGTTTTTATTTTTTGTTTCCAAGCATGGTTGCATCCCTGCCGACCGCCGATCAGTAGAGCCGACCAGTCGACGGTCTGCCAACCAGTCAGAAAACAACCATCCACTATTTTTTTTTCAGATCTGAGTTGGAAGCTGTACTGCGCTTACTGAGTACAGCCCAAATCAGCTGAGAAACTTTTGGGGATGGGGGGGGTGAGACAGGGTTGTATAGGGGTGGTATAAGGGGCATTGGGGGGGGTATGAGGGTGTTGGGGGGCAGTTTGTGGATTTTATTTTATTTTATTTTTTTTTGGGGGGGGGAGGGTAGGGGGGGGTGTGAGGGTATTTGGGGTGGGTATGGGGGTGTTCGTGGGGTTATTAGGGGTTCTGGACCAAAAAAAAATAAAAAATAAAAAAATTACAGGGTGCCGACGACTCCCGACCGGTAGGTGCCGACCAGCCGACCAGTCTAGGGTCACCGACGGTCAGGGTGTGCAACACTGTTTCCGAGTTTATAAGGAATTCTGAAGTGACCCTCAGCCAAAAATTGGACAACATTTTTTTTCCCAGAATTTTTTGATTTTTTTTTCTTTGAATTTTGGGGCCTCACAGAAGCCACCACAAATTTACTGAAGGCATTATATTCGTACATAACGCCCAGGCGTTATTTTCGGGTGAAGACGGTAGTTTTTCAAGTGAGAGATGAGAGGATGGAGCTCGAAGATTGAAGGTGCTGTAATGCATGGCCAGCAGGCTTGAAACAGCAGAAGCAAGCATAAGATTCACACCATAGTTGTGGCGCACCAGTGCGCAGTGCGGTGTGGGGCGGTGCGCACTGCGCTGTGCGCTGGAACGACAGCGCGCACACTGTGCGCCGTGCGCTGTGCGCAGTACCCAGTGCGGTTTGCTGTGCGCGGTGCACGCGCTGAGGGAGTTGCGCCCTGTGCACGATAAAAAAAAAAAAAAAAAAAAAAAAAGAACAAAAGAGGAAAAAAAAAAAACAAACAAACAGGCCCAGTGTGCAGTGCAGTCCGCTGTGCATGGTGCGCACACTGAGGGAGGCGCGCCCTGTGCACGATATAAAAAAAAAAAAAAAAAAAAAAGGCCCCAAGAGAGAGAGAGAGAGAGAGAGAACAAAAGGTCCCCTTCACGTCAATTCGAGGCCCCCCGCAGGTACCTCGAATGAATCCTACAATACATGTGGAGCCATTGAGGGCCAGCTTCAACGAGAAGGATGACCTCGTCACGTGTGGGAGAGATGTGGGCAGACCACCAATATATGCTGTGGATTCGAGTTCAGGACTGTAGCTCGGCAGTTATGGGTCACCAATTCAGGTAGACCCTGTTCGTGTCTACACGTGATTGTTAGGGCCTCTCTCCACCACTCACCAAATGTATATAATATTAGTAGAATGAATCTCCTGCGAAAACATGGAACCATACACCGCCATATGCTATGTCTTTTGTGCATTCCCACTTGGAAGTATTCGTAAGAAAAGAAAAACAAAAAAACGAGAGAGCACGGGCATAATGAATCTTCTGCGAAAACATGGAACCATACACCGCCATATGCTATGTCTTTTGTGCATCTATTCGTAAGAAAACAAAAACAAAAAAAACAAGAGAGCCACGGGCATCTTCATCCTGACCCATAACTGCCGACATGGGGACCTGAACGCCAATCTTCAGCATATATTGGTGGTCGGCTGGCGATGGAAGATGTAATTTGTGAATTCTGCGAAATTTTGCGGGGCAGGTCGTTAGTAGGCGACTACCCCTTCTTGCGAACTTACCCCACTACTGTGTGGGATTTGCAGAAGGCAGCGGGAAGGACAGCTTTCATACCCCGCCTAAAACAAAAGTTGGAATGATCCCTATTTTGTGCCTCGCTATTCTGCAACTTTTGGGGGAAGGGCCTGTGGAATTTGAAATTTCAGCACCCCTTACCCAAAAGAAAAGTTTGGGCCGTGGGCGCGGCTGGTTTGCAAGCTTGCATGGTGAGTTTAACATTTTTGCTGAGTTGGGGGCCCTAAGAAATTATGAAAACCCTACTTTTTTTTTTTTTTTTTGACCTAATTTTTCAAGTGTGATGCGCTTTGGTGCGCTGCGCGTGGTGCGCAATTTGTGGGCAAATCCGCGCACCGAGGTGCGCCGCAACTATGATTCACACTGATTAGGGTCATGGCAAAGCACCTGGCCCATGTGGACGAATGGTACACACGCATGTAACGGTTAGAAAATAGATCATGAGTTCAAATCCTCATGCAATCGGATTAAAAAGGGGGCCAAACCAGAGATGTCCCTTCAGGAAACCAACTACATCGAATCAGAGGAAGGCTGCGTCTCACTCTCTGAATGATCGCACTTCAGCCTGTGACGGAGAACTATCACTGTGGGAGTGAACAACCAAGTACCAGATCAGCACTTAAACAGGTAGACGATGCAATAATCACCCTTCGCATTCAACTCAGGGGAGGGGCTTGGTATGCAGCAACGCCACATATGAAAGCATCACCACTTCCACTCTACTGAATCAACTGGTGCTTTTTGTGATGTCACAATTTTTTCCTCGTTTTTTTTTTTTTTGCAGAGACATATTTCTGTGTTCGAGCAGCAAGTGCCCTCACACCCATCGTGTATAACACCACACTCGCACATGCACTAGATATGACTACCAA